GAATGGCATATCGTAGCTACTATACTAAAGAGATGGTATGTAATTAATAGACATCTCTTTTGATATTTATAACTCTCTTTTGCAACAAATTCAATTCATTTTATGCCTGATGAAATTAAATTCAATCTTCTTGCCAACTAGGTGAAAGAGTACACTAGAAATCTCCTAACGGAAGCCAAATGGGTTAAAGAGGGTTACATTCCAACCATAGAGGAACACATGTCTGTGACCCTGGTAACTTGTGCTTATGCCATGATCATAGCGAAATGTTATGTTCATGGACATGATTCTGTCACAGAGGATACCTTTAAATGGGTGTCCACATATCCTCCTCTTGTCAAAGCTTCATGTTTGATTTTAAGGCTCATGGATGATATTGCTACCTATAAGGTTCGTTTCGGATCTATTAATTTTGAAGTATAATTTAACATATATATAGTTAAAACAAAAACAATGTAAGATTGTATGATGTTACTTTTGCAAATATCACAGGAGGAACAAGAAAGGAAYCATTGTGCTTCTAGCATCCAATGCTACATGAAGCAACATGGTGTCTCGGAGGAGGAAACACGTGAAGTATTTTCAAAACAAGTCGAAGATGCGTGGAAAGTTATAAATCAAGAATCCCTTAGGCCTACTGATGTCCCGATGCCTCTGCTTATGCCTCCAATCAACCTTGCCCGTGTCTGTGACGAACTTTATTCTCGTGGCGACGATTATAATCATGCAGGGAAAGAAATGATCCATTGCATCGAATCACTTCTCGTAAATCCTATAAATCTGTAGATTGGTTTATGTTTGTGATGGAGTCTCTTTATTGGATGCTACTATTTCAACATGTATTTGTAATAAATATTGTGGCTATGCATTTAGAGGACCTTTACTTAATAATCTGGGAAGATCGTGTTGTAGAATTATGTTGTAATTAATGTTATATTGAAAGATAACCGATGTGTTGTTACGACAGATTTTTTACATGTTGTTACGATATGGAGTTCCAATGGTTTCTTTTCTCATGGATTCTGATGTGTTTTGGTTTAAGGTCGCTATGATGAACCGACCAATTATTGATGACTACATTGCTCGATAAGATGTCATCAGGATACCATCACCACTTGTCTTGATGGGAATGGTTAATTGGTAACCCTAAACAATCTTGGTAATTTAACTTTTTAATTTTTTTTTAAATTCAGTTTTTCCGGGCTCCTGCACATATTTATGTATTTATACATGATATAAAAAATAACAAATTTAAATCAAAATTATCAAAGTTTATCTACAAATATATACATATATCAAATTATATAAAGAGTAAATTACAAATTTTGTCCGTGTGGTTTCGTGAAATTTTTTATTAAGTCCCTCGAATGAATTGATTACAAGGATGGTCATTGTGGTTTCATATTTGTTATGCATGAGGTCCCTCATTTTAACAATCGTATAAATTCTTCGTTAACTTTAGAAGCATTTTCATGTTTTAGTTGTTTATGACAATTAAAAATTATTTCAAGGACCTGTTTTGTCAATTTATAGAACTCGATAATAAAAAATAAAAAGGAACAAACAATCCACCCCACCTATTATTTCCTCTAGTGAATATTTGGGTTGAAGAAATCGAAGGAAGCATTTGGATATCGAAGTAGGCTTTCGAAAATCGATGAACAGGACAATCTGCATTTCCTCCATCTTCTTCTCTATGATTTTTGGTTTTTGATTAGGGTTTTGGTTTTAGATTTAGGTTTCTTAACGTTATTGTGTTTTTGATTAGTTATCCTTAAAATTGATATTGTTGACAAATTATATATTTTTTGAGATATTATTTAATTAAGATTTTTTCTTCATGTTGAGCAATGATATAAAATCCAGATTTACCAGACAAATGGTTTCAAAAATAGTTTTTGTTGTTGAGTCGTTCTAAAAAATGAAGTATGTTGTTGATTTGTTCTTTAAAAATGGGTTTGTATTGTTGATTTCATTATTCAAAAATGGGTTTATATTGTTGATTTTGTTATACAAAAATGGGTTTTTGTTGTGGATTATGTTCTTCAATTAATTTTTACTGGATTGAATCTTTGTTCTTGTTTTGATTTTGGATATGGTTTTTGGGTATGTTTTTGTTGCTAGGAATATGAGGAAAAGATGGGAGAGAAAAGCAAGTTTCACAAATCTTAGAAATTGGCAAAACGGGTTATCATAAAAATCACAAGTTGCATAACACAAGAAAAAATGAAAATATCTTGAAGTTAATGGAGATCTTAAATGATTGTTAACATGAGGGACCTAATCCATAACAAATATGAAACCAGAATGACCATCCCTGTAATTATTTCGTCTGAGAGACCCAATCCAAAATTTCACAAAACCACAGGGACAAAATTTGTAATTTGCTCTTATTTAAAATATTCCACATATCCAAAAATAGCGCTTTCACAAAGCAACGATGTTATGAAGAGTGTATACTTACTCGGTGAACTCACACAACATGTTCGGTGAAATTTGGATGGTTGCATTTATCTCCGTTATGCTTACGTATAAAATTCTATTGTTGCAATGTCGCTCGATAAAATTCGCCTAACATTGTTATGGGAAGGTAACGTGCAAACTGGGTTACTGAGTTGAAGAACTCGATACTATTGGAAGTCATTATGCTGTAACGTAATCCAAGGAAGTGCGATCTTGCCCTAGCATAACCAACTTCTTCAAGATATTGAGCGGCGTTAGGTAGACTGTGTCGCATCAAATCTATTGTAGCTTCAAAGTCTGACACCATATAAGCTTTGCATGCCTCACATAACATCCACCTTTTTTATTTTGTCTCTACTTGAGGTTAGGCGCAAGTTCTGGCTCAAATGCCAACAAAAAAGTCCATGGTGTATGTTGGGGAATACAGTTCTTATAGCCAACTCGATAGAGGCAGCCCTATTGGTTACGAAGGTTATATTGGGCACTTCACTGATACATTGCCTTAGCTTATGTAAACACCATGTCCATGACGTGCCACTTTTTGTCTTCCCCACTCCCATTGCAATGGGTACGATCTGGTTGTTCCCATCCATGCCGACCGCTAACAACATGGTGCCCACATATGGCCCCTTCAAATGGGCACCGTCCATTATAAGAAGCGGTCGTAAGTGTCTATGAAACGAGCGAATCCGCAAATGAACGAGGTTACAAATACAAACTTCAAAATTATGACAACAATTCAAGAATATAACAAAAATTATAACCGAACAACTTAGTGCGACAAACAACATGTTAAATCGTCCTCGTTCATCAACAACGATCTCTATCACCTTGATTTACTTTTTTCTGATTGTGACAATAAACTGGGAGTAGCTTAAATTATGATTTAGGGGTCCATGTCAACAGTTGCAAGGCATACATCTTGGATCGCCATGCTTGACTGTAGGAGATGCTAATATTGAAATGTTGGTTCACATCTTCCATGATTTTTTCCACGATACACTCTCCTACAATCCTTTAAACTCTTTGCCAATATATGACCCAGAACCTTTTTATTTGAACATAAAATGAAGATATTTTTAGCAAACCTATAATTTTCAAGATTATTCTAACATTTTTGGTTAGAATCTTTAGAAGTATAAGATGATATATATAGTTTTTAAAACAATGATTTTGTTTCATTAATATTAGGATATACATGATCTTGTTGTCTCGGTTATAAAATCATACGTTTTACATTTTTGCCCTTTTTTTAATTAAAAATTGAACTTTTATTTATTATTATTTTTCATTTTGCTAATATAAAATAATTTAATCTTTACCATTGATCAAGAAAATGGATGGATGAGATTAGTTTGTAAGGTTTTCACAAATGAGAATGATTTTCATTTGATCCCTCCTCCTTCTCTCACTCTCTCTCTCTCTCTCTCTCTCTCTCTATATATATATATATATATATATATATATATATATATATA